TCTGATGAGAGCATTGGAAGAACTGAACTATTTGGCCTGTCTGGATGATGATGGAAACCTTACTCAGCTGGGTCGTCTGGCCTCCGACTTCCCTCTCGACCCTGCCCTTGCTGTTATGTTGATCAGCTCTCCCGAATTCTACTGCTCTAATGAAATCCTTTCCATCACCGCCCTTCTGTCTGTACCGCAGGTCTTCGTTCGTCCTCCTGCCCAGCGCAAGCGTGCCGACGAAATGAAGAACCTGTTTGCCCACCCCGACGGAGACCATTTGACAATGCTGAACGTCTACCACGCATACCGAAGCAGTGACGCCCAGGCAAACCCCAAGCAGTGGTGCCACGACCACTTCCTCTCCCAGCGGGCTCTCCAATCCGCCGATAATGTCCGCTCCCAGCTGCTCCGCATCATGGAACGCCAGGATCTCGAGATGATCTCCACTGCCTTCGATGACAAGAAGTACTACGAGAACATCCGCCGCGCCCTTTGCGCCGGTTTCTTTATGCAAGTCGCGAAGAAGGATACAGGCGGCAAGAGCCAATACCTTACCATCAAGGACAACCAGAATGTGCTCCTGCACCCGTCCACCGTCTTGGCTCACGAGGCCGAATGGGTTTTGTATAACGAATTCGTTCTCACAACCAAGAACTACATCCGTACTGTCACTGCCGTCAAGCCAGAATGGCTTTTGGTATGTTACCCATTCCTCTCTTATAACCACTATAGATTTACTAACTGTTTTCCAGGATATCGCCCCTACATACTACGATATCAACAGCTTCCCCAAGGGTGACATCCGCTCTGCCCTTACTCGTGCTGCTGATCGCCTAGCTCGCAAGGAGAAGATGCGCGCCGAGAAGCGTCGATAGACCACTTGTTTCTGTTCAGCCTAAAATTCACGCATGATACGCTTGTTTGTCGCACTGCTTCCTTCTCATCACGATGTCAATATATTGAATAGAATTTTTGCTTTCTTGCTCTTCTCCATACCATATTTACTCCCGGACAATCCTTTTTCGGCCGTTGCCTTCAACCAGTCTTCGAAATCTGTCCAATTTGGGAGACTGGATCAAAATACAATATACTCGAGAGGCTCAGGCCTGGTCACCATGAAATGTTCTTCAAGAAATCAATTTTAAATCAATTGTATGCACCACCAACGCCCTCGGGTGGTTAATACATTCAGGGCTGCTTGCCCAGGGTGTTCCTGTGTGCTCTATTGGAAACAAATGTAGTCATTTAATATACAAGAAATTCTCCTCCGTCTTCAGTGAGTACACGGACAGTCAATGTCCATGATTTGGAAAATCCACGACTCAGCTGGCAAATACTGCAGGCTCGGCACCAGGAGCTGTGCGTTCCAATGATGGTTGGTCAGTGCTGGTTTCTCGCCGCCTGCTTCGCTTGTTTGATTTCCGCGGAGATGGAGATGACACTTGCGATCTGGCGAGGCTGATCCTAGTCGAAGTTCTGGTGAAATTGCGACTTAGTGGGGGAGTTTGGGGTTGGGAGTTTTTGAGGGGTGTGATGGTTTCGACGGGTGGAGGGAGGGTTTCTTCGCTGCTCGGAGTGCGAGAGGATTCTTTCGTGGAGGGGTCTGAGATGTGATGTTTGCGAAGCTCATAGATGAGTTCGCGGAGTTGGGCAACCTCGCCCTTGAGTGTGGAGATGTCCTCATTTACCGTGTTGTCAGCAGGTGTCTTTCCCTCACTGGAAGTTGGCGTTCTGCTACGTCCAAGGGCAGTAAATAAAGCATTCTCTGCATGCTGATCGGCCAGTTTGGCATTGCGTCGGGCGAAGGTATCCTCTGCCGGCACCTCAATTTGGCTCAGGTATTCCCCAAAGGTGTTTCCAAAGTCGTAGCACTTCTGCCACAAGGGGCGGTCAATGTTCTCCCTCGGGGTTTGCTTCGCAGCATTCGACCACCGCTTGTGATCAGCATGGACGAAAGGTCCTGAGTCCGACTGTCGTGATATAAGTCTTGGATCAAAGCCACTGTGCACGGCAGCTTTTACCAATGCATCCGATGCATCTAGTTTGTCACAGGAGTCGCAGAGGCCGACCATTCGCCCAAGCAATCTCTCGACTGAATCTACACGGTGGTCCGTTGATGACAAGAGATAGGTCACAGCTCGTTTCAAGACGTTCACGCCCTTATCCCAGTCCCTTCGAAGGCTGTAAAACCGTAGATAAGTGAACAGGGTTTCCCAACTATCAAAGAAACCTCCGCCACGTGCAGCTTGAAGCCAAGCATCGGCTCGATCGGGCTGGTCGAAACGTAATGCCGCCCCTATCAAGGCGGCATAGATGACGGGATTGCTGCTGTTTAAAGATGGAACAATGAGATCCATACCATTGACCGTACGGTGCTTGTAAACCCCCCTGCTCCCTAGGTTGACGGAGTAGCCTTCTCCGCCGAGCATTTTCAAGAACAAATCGAAATCCTTAAGGTTTTTCGATTTTCTGAAGAAGGTGATGATGGTGATCACGAGCGACGGGTTGAGGAAGAACCGGTTCGGCAATAATGTCCGCAGAAGCAGCTCAACCAGGTCATTTTGGCGGGTCTGGCCAAATGCCATGATCATGAGCCGGAAAGCTGTTGGTCGATCCGGGTCCCTCGAGCTCAGGATGTTGTTGGATATCCGCAGAAGCAGTTCCTGGAGAGGCATCTCCTGGCTCGTGTAGATGCGAATGTCGTTGGTGAGTTCGGCATCAAGGGCCTTGCGCTCTCTTTGCATCTCGCCCAATTGACTCGCGGCATAGTCCTGCGTGATATCACTATATGTGGCGTGTCTGTTTGTTTTCAAGGTGTTCATTCGATGGCGAAGACGATTCAGCTCCTCCAGGAGCTGCGCGACATTTACCTGAGGAGTCTCAAAGTCCGCTGCGTAGTTCATTGAGACGCCCGAGTAACGATGTGCGATAGCCGGTCGTAGCAAAATCCGGATTGCGAATTGCCTTAAAGCAAGTTTCTGAATGGCCTTCAGACGAAGATCATCCTCCAAGACCCAACTAGGTAATGTCTCCTGCGGAAGGAAAATCTCGCTCTCATCCTGCTCATCAATAGTGTGTTCGTCCTCCTCGGCTGGCTTCTCTTCCACCAGTCGAGCCCCGGCCGCGTTAAAACGTGTTCTTTCTGTGTGGAAGGCCCGTATTCTGTTGAAGCTGGTTGGGAATTGGGTTCCGGGAGGGAAACAAGCGACAGTGCCGAATCCCCTCGCTTGTATTAGGCGATTGAGTCCTCGTGTTTCTCTTCGTGATTGCAATGACGCCAGAATGCGCTCCTCTTCGTCCACCAACTCGCTCACCTCGGCCTTGACCGCGGCAATCTTTTCCTCCCAGTCATGTCGGCGGCGATCCTTCACGCTCGCATCGGCAATGGCGGCACCGGCGAAAATGCTGCCGTAAAATGCGGTAACAGAGTTTCCAATCCGAAGTCGTCTCTTACTAGAGGTTGCTGCTCGCGAGGTAACCCCGTTGGTGGTAGTGCTCAAACATCCGACACAGCGGCAGGACGACTGCTTCGAAACAGTACGGGACCACAAACCCTGCATTCTCAGGGCATTGCTATCGCACAATGTGTTCCAAAAGGTAATATTTCAAACTAATGATCAATTGGACTCCTCCCGGAGCCCCGTCGGAAGTAGGAGTAGGGAAATAGATGGGGTAACATGCGATGCAGCAAATTAATTGAAAGTTCCATTCCGCAAATGCTCGGGTCGGGTCATCAGTGCAAACATTGCAAACGAGCTAAGACCCCATATCTCCTGACACCGTTGAATGTCTATCCAAGCACTGTGAATCTATCTGCTTTTTTTGTTTTCTTGAACGAATCTCTTTTGTTACGATATCCAATGGTCAATAAACTATTCGGTCTCGCAGCTGGGCTGCTTGCGTTGAGCGGACTTGCCAATGCCCACGGCTCGCATTCAAATGACGAAGCCCCCTCAGATGATTGGGCCACAAGACACATGATAGGTAAGACACATTGATGATGCGTCAATGGAGAAGTTGACCTTGCTAATATTGTCATATCTAGAGGAACACCACATTGAATCCTTCGACCCGAGCTCATTCTTCATCCTTCACGACTACGATTCCTCGGGGACATGGTCACAAGACGAAGTCCGCAAGACATACGGCCTCAACGACGAATCCAATGCCGGTGTCAGTGAAGAAAAGAAACAAGATGCCGTGCGTGCAGTGTTTGAGATCTTCGACACTGGGCGCACTGGGTTTATTGATCGGGAGGACTGGCTGGCGGGGCTAGCTGCGGGTAACCGGCTTCCCGATCTCGGTTACGGCCCTGGACACCATGGGGACCTTGAGTATGAGTACGAAATTCATCACTTTGAGAAGTTCCACGGCGACGATACCACGGAGGAGGACTTGACCCACCCGGAGGATATTGAACATTTCCGCAAGCATGACGAGGAGGAGGATGCGGCTATTGCCCTCGAAAAGCTGGAGCAGATTCAAGTTGTCGTTGGTAATATTCCTCAGAAATTCCGCCGGAATTTTTAGACTCTTGAGCACCTTTCTTTCTATGCTTGTTTTCTATGTACATACGCGCTTATACATATCATCCTTCATCAATTTGAGCCTCCCAGTTCATCCAACAAGTCCCCTCTCTAACTTGTGATGTTTGAAGAACTCTCTGCATATAATTCTTCCAATAGGAAAAGTATGAGAAGCTAAAGTAGCTATTCAAGACTTGAATTTGGAAGCAGAGGATATAACGATATAGCCAGCCACGAAATGAAGTAGACTCGCCAATACACCATGTATGATATGGGAAGTCCTGACTAGGGAAGTCCTGACTAAAAACGTCGGAGGGGAGTGTTGAGACGCTAAAGGCTCAAAAAGAGGATGATGATTCATAGTAAAAGGCGGCAGTAAATGCCAATGCCGAAAACTGGGAAACATGGCGTTGGGAAGAGCAAGGAACCGGTAAGGGCAGAGCTATCCCCTTATAGTTAATTTGTCTTCCAGGGGCTTGGCTCTCAGTACTCCGTTGTGTAACCCAGCCTATCGGTCGAATCAACAACCCTGTGGTATGAGTGTTAGCGTTAAACTTAATCCGCCGAGCTTGAGGATAGTTCAAACATACGAGTATTGTTTCGTCAAAGTCCCTTCTCCACCCTTCGACAAATCGATATTGAAAACGTAGAAGTTGCCATCACTAGTGACAACCATGACTTGGGGAGTGTTGCTACTCATGGCAACCACACTCCTCAATGGCCCGGGGCCTGAGTTCCCACCAGGGCCTGGGTTCGATCGCGGCAATTTGATCCAAGCAAAGTCACGCGCTGGCTCCCACATCTCACTGACTCCCTTTGGAAGATATCCGCCCATTCTGGCAGCAACTGCGCCGCCGACGTTTTGAGAGGTCCGGCGAAGCATCCCCATCAAAGTGCCGTTGTGCCTCCGCGAGGAAGAATCTGAGCCAGCATCGCCGCCCGTCTCGTCTTCCTCGGGTGAATACCCATAGGTATTTGGCGGAGAGCCATGCTCCCGACCTGGAGGAGAATGCAACGAAGAGCCATCTGACGATGGTCCTTGCTGGGCCAACTTGAAGATGTGGACGGTGTCGGTGGATGAAGAGACGCACAGGAGCGTGGATGCGGTGTTGAAAGACATGCTGTAAATTCGTGACGGCATGGAACCACGTCGGAACTGGTACAGCTTGTGGCCATCTGGAACTGAGAAAATACGAATGATGGTTCCTTTATCTGAGGCAGTAGCAAGCAAAGTCCCATCGCTATTCAGCGCAATGAGTGCCAGAGGAGAGCGATGGGCTTCAATGACGTTGATAGCTTCTAGCTTTACAGCATCAAAGATTAAAACATCCCCGGTCGTAGGAGATACATGAGTCGTTCCAGGGGGCGCATGCGCCGGTGTATTTGCGGCTGCGGGGGCTTTTTGTGGAAGAGGATATGCCATGTAACAATTCTCTGAAGACGGGGCAAGAGCACATATTGCTGTTGACTTGTCAGAACTGGGCATAAAACTACTTAAAATGAAAGGGGAAAAAACAGGCGCAAGAGCTCTGTACCGTTGGGGTTTGGTGAGGTATCAATAGTGGACAAAAGCTTCATGGTCTGGATATCATAAAGATAGATCTGATCCTCAAGGACAATAACAAGTCGCTTGCGGTTCAGCTTCACTGCGAGAACAGTAGTTGGAAATGTTAATTCGCATATTGTGCATTGTCGCTATTTCAAACATTAGTGCATAGTTCCATGTTTATATGAACTGCCTGTAATGACATGACTGAGTAACGATTCAAGATACCTTGGTGTTTTGGATCTGCAAGCGTCTTGGCGATAAGATAAGGGCTACAAGTGAGGTTGAGAATAGCATCTCAATGACAGCGATATTCCCCTCTTTGGCTTCATAGCTCTTGGCAAAGGGTTCAGTTGTGAAGATCTGAAATCCCTTGGATGTTGCTATAAATGCGGTCAATGGACATTCAAAGATAAAAACAAAGAAACAGTTATGGAAAGAGACTCACCCACAGCCAGATAGCTATAGTCCTGGTTAAATGTCACGAAATTCATGGCCATTATTAGAAAGGTTCGGGATTGTAGATGAAATCAAGACTGATATAAGGCAACTCTCAGATGTCGGAGATACCCCGCTTAGGGCGATATTGAGAGGGGATCACCAGCAACTCTTGCCCGTCACTGGCCACAGCGTAACATGTCTTGGACTTGGAACAAAGCGAGATACTTTAAAGACGGGGATGTGGAGAAGAGAGGATATGATATCCGCGAAGTCTTTGGTCGTCACAAGCGAGAGGTTTGCGCTTGGGCCGCACCTTGATTGCCCACCGCCTACGGAGTTGTCTTATCAGTCATCGCCCGCTCTTTCCGAGGTTTCTTCTACTTCACTCTCTGGCTGATTTTGGCTAATTTTCACGCAAGAACCAATCCAGCAGGGTGATAAGAAGGATATATAATTCCCCTGAAGCTGTGACCTTCGGTCGCTGACTCCTTGCTTTCCTCCATAAAACGGCCGAGAGTATCCCGAGGTACTCACCCCCACGATAAGTGACGTAGAGATCGTTTACCCTGATCCTTAAGCCCTACCGATTTTACTATTTTGTCAATACAAGCAATGTCTGTCTATCATAGACTCGGCATACTATAGCAATTAGGGTAAATCCTATCGTGTTCTATGCTCAACACATGCTAGACGTGGTTGTGGGAGGAGATATATATAGTGATTGAACCCGACGATGAAAAAGGCCTCATTGTTGTACTAGGATCCCTCGACTCGTGGATCTATAAGTAATGACCTATCATAAGTAGATGGCGACTCTGGTGTGAGCTCTTCGAACAAATGAACACCTTGAGCAGACAATAGGGTTCCAATCATATGTATTCCTTGTTTGAGCAATTTATGTCTACCAGCCTCGATGTATGGTGACTGTCTGTCCAATGAAGAATATAGAAGCCTGATAATGTTAATCTCGGTCAACGCATATTATATGAGGCATTTGTGCTAGTTGGGCTGGATGATGTACTCAGCCAGTCACATGTCGCCCATGCAGAAGGTGCCATTAAAGCCCAATATTCCAACACCAACACCAACACCAACACCTGCAGCCCAGCGCCTGGGAAAATGCAAGGACCGACCAGGTTCCCTGGATATGGACCAAGTCTGCCGCGTGTCACTAATGAAGACTGGTCAGTTCTTGAAAATTTCAATCGAGACCGGTGTACCGAACTAGGAAGGAATACCTCGCAAGCGCGAGGGAAACAAGGTACGGCAGCTACCCGCCTCGCACGACATAGTCCCTTGTGCATAGGCCACTGAAAAAACCCTCATTAGGTCGTTCTTTATGCCGCCCGATTGAAATTGGGCTTTCGACTTCCGCTTAACAGTTCAAGTCTATGTCCAAGTCGGATAGGCAGCATTCGAGACAGTTGGCCAACCTACCCTTTCTCAGGTTAGTGAACCCCTAAGTAATGTGGCGCAGGCCATAGCCAATATGCATAATTCCATATCCAGACCGAGACCCAGTCATCATGTGGCTCCACTAGAATATGAAATTAACCGGCTACTTGGGTAGCAAACGGCCATGTGCATTAGTTAGATATATCAACTAAGGTAAACACTAGGTCTGTGGCAGCTAACATGTGTCAGATCCAAGACAAGGAAACAGCCTATTTTGTTTCCGCCCGATGATGTGCAGTTCCTGCACGTTCCGACTGGCACATAGAATATCCATATCCCCAAATACCGGTGCCGGTGCCGACTTGGGCGTTTAACCGAGGCACAGCACTGATAATATTGATACCAACCCGCTGGTAACGTAAACTTTATGGACACAGTTCACCAACCCGACTGAAGGGAGTATGCATCTAGTCATGATGTCCAGGACAGTTGGGATCTGCAGACGTGGTAGGAATCGAGGTAGGATCTGCAGAAAGTTGCCCGATCGTTCAATGCAGCGCTCCGTCTGACACCGCCCACTTTTTCTCTATGGCCGTTGGCTCAGGAGTTGTAGGATACAGGTGGCCAATGAGGGTGGACATGGGTCTCTCCTGTATGGCGGAAATATCCAGCGATACGCCAGGAAAAAGATAAGACGACTAAATTGCTATTGACACATTCGCGACCTGGGTATACCTGCCTACATATAGATGGTACATAGGCTTGTTATTAGGCACTGGCGCGACGGTGTTAGGTACCCGATCCCAATCTTGGGCACCTGCATTGAGGCATACTCATCACAAGATCGAGGGTGTTGTTTCGGGACGGGCTATTGACGGGATTAGGCATCTGTTTACTATTGGGCATATTACATCTAACGTTGTGATGTCCCCCACCTCGAGTGGATCGCAGTGGCGATCCGGGGTTAGTTCGTTCCACCCTGTAACTAGTTATGGGATACTGAATATAAGTACTTTTAGATGTCTCGAAGCAGTAATATGTGGGTTGGGTCTTTTTTCATTTGATGTATCATGTTTCAAGGATGTTTCAACCCTCGGGAACATCGGAAAATTGAGATTTAGTAATATATGCGGGTGGATGCTGTCGGGTGTACGGACATATACATCAATTACGGAGTGCCCGTGGAATCCTTTTGTTGGCAATGAAATTGACTTTCCTGTTTCCATGGACACGAAATGCAGGAGAAATGGCTCGACCTCCGGCTGGCAGGGCTTTCTCATCCGATGTGGATCCTGATATCCTCTCGAGCGGGGTGATAACCTTGGAAGTTCTTTGTTCCCCATCAACCAAGGAGAATAGGAGTAGAACCTTGGAAACCCCCTCCCCAGACGCACAGACAAGGCTATAATCTGGTCCGAGGGAGATATCGGCAAATCTCATCGTCATCATTGGTCTGCCTCATGAGTGATTGGCCACATCAACGGTTAGTTGTCTGTGGTCGCTTTTTTTGAGCCCAGTAGGTTTTTTAAGGGTGGGGTTTAGGGGGGGGGGGGCAAGTATACGCGAGAGAAAAGTGGTAGGATCCCTGTCTAGAGGGGACATGCCGTTCAGGATCTGTATCTGATGCATATATCATACCATCAATTTAGACAAGGTTACGCGGATAACATCCAGACCCGCGGCGGTGGAGCGTGTGGATACAGATGCAATTAATTGGGGCCACCATCTGGGAACCATGACGATGGTGATAAGTGATGATGATGAGACGATATCCAGTAACATACATGTAAGTTACAGATGTATAAACAATAGAATTCACTGGGGATACATAATGTACAATGGCCCCAGGTACACTCGTTGTCAGATCTTGTCCCACGTTATCTTCCCCCCCCTCCTTCAATTGCTCTCCACTCCATCCCTCTTCTCTCCTCCTTCTACTTGATGCATTGCTTCTTTTATCTCAAGTCTCTCCCTGTCGCCTGACTGCCTTTATCTTTCCATTCTTCACCCCCTTGCCTTATCTCTGCTGGTCTTGTACGATCTCCCCCTCCAAACTCGCATCCTTCTTCTTTACTTTCCATGTTTTGCAACTGCTCGAGTTCGTGACACTGGCTCATACTTGCGACGCGCTCCAGGAAATTCTGCTAACAACTGCCGCGTAGTTGTGGTTGCGATCACCCGCGAGTCAGATTCCCATTGCTTTCGTACTCTTCCCCATATCGCGACTACAAAGGATGTAACCGTCTTTTGATTCGACTCTCAAAGGTGTTGCAATTGCAAGTGACACTACCATATTCATCACAACATTACACCTCTTTTCAATCACGCGTCTTAGTCTGTCGTCATGGCCACAGTGCTAGTCCAGCAGCAGGCGCTGCACCACTCGACCCCCTCCCCCTCTCCAATCCCCTCAGCCTTGATAAACCGACGATCAAGCCCTATCCCGAACAGACATATTCCAGTATGCCCTACAGGCCCGATTCCAACATCTCAGCCTCAGCCTATCTCCGCGTCCCGGCCCAGCGGTCAGCCTTCCTCGCTGTTGTCTCCTCCAGATGAAAGAATGCGCATTGGACGACCGTCATCCCCCGCTGTGTATGCCATCGACGGAGCCAAATTAGCAGCCGCGATCGCTCATCAAGCATCACAACCTTTACCCGACGCCTCTCTGATGTTCCCTTGGCTCCATGGACTGCATCGAGACAACCATCTGCAGCTGGGATTCTTTTCAAGTCGCAAGCGACATGCTCGTCACACCCCAAAATGCTGGCGAGGCATTACCGTCGTGAAGCTTGGAGGTGACTTGAGCAAGGCACGCATCAGGGGCGCAATAAGCGCCCATGAGGTGCTGGCACCTTCATCCCATTTCTTGATGGCTGATCCTCCCGAGGGATTCTCCGTCCGCAATTTCCAAATACAAACTGCCAAGCTGGCTGCGATGTCGGATATTGTTATTTATGCTGAAGATGATGACAGTCATAGCGGACTTGTTGAACTAGCAAACCAGTTTGCCAAGGCGCAGCGGTTATGGCGAACGAAAATGGATCCCCTAGAGGAACGGCCGACGTACAACACCTTCATTCTGGCCGGTTCGTTGCTTTGCCTTATCTCCCGCATTCATGGACCATCAATTGATATACCCCCCTAGACAAATTCTCCAACGTTGCCGACCAACATCCAGAGATCATTTCCATCGATGCGAAAGGTCAACCAACAGGTCAAACTATGGATTTCGGTAAGTTTAAACGAACCTTGGCACGCCCAGAGTTAACCTTAGCAAATTGGTAGCCCAATGGGAGCGACTGGAAATGTCTACAATGTCCCGGGCTTCCGAGATTTCGTCCAATGTTTGGCTAGGGTCTACCCCGGACTACTTCCATACTGGAGCTCTCGAGTCGTCAAAGGAGGAGGGCTATGACCTATTGATCGAAGCATGCGACATGGCCAACATCCCTGGTCCGCGCTTCCTCGCTATGCTTGACAAACAGATAGAGAGTGGTTCACAGCGCTTGGAGTTCCCTTCATCGGGATCTCTTGTGCTCCCGTCGGGGAACACCCGGGAGGTTGAGGACATTGTCAACACAATCAGATGGATCTATTATCTCGCGCACCCAGAAACATCATCGGAAGACCTCGAACCGGACGGAGACGTCGTAATGATCAAATCGAACGGGAAACCCCGCAAGATTCTCATCCACTGTGCGGACGGTTATACCGAAAGCTCGCTGTTGGCAGTGGCCTACTTTATGTTTGCAGAAGGGGTGCCTGCCCATGAAGCTTGGCTTCGACTGCATTGCGATAGGCAACGCAATTTCTTTGCCTATCCGACAGACGTTGCTTTCCTACGCCACATTCAAGAACGTCTTTTACAGGAAAGCCCCGCGACTCAGTCGACGGATCTCTCGGAAATCGGGGACCCGCGTTGGTTTCACAACATCGACGGCTCCTTCCCCAGCCGTGTCCTACCGTATCTGTATCTGGGCAATCTGAATCACGCAAACAACCCGGAGCTTCTGTGGCAGCTTGGAATCAAGCGTGTGCTTAGTATTGGCGAGGCTGTCAACTGGACAGATTCGGACCGCGCCAAATGGGGAGCTGACAATCTGATGTACATTGACAATGTCCAAGACAATGGCATTGATCCTCTGTGTCAGGAGTACGATCGTTGTTTGGACTTCATAGGTAAGTCCTCCGAATTTGTGACTCCGTTTCTGTTTCAACCTGCTAATTTGTGTACAGAAAAAGGAAAACGCCACGGCACGGCCACATTGGTTCATTGTCGGGTCGGTGTTTCCCGATCTGCAAGTATTTGCATCGCTGAAGTCATGGCGTCCAAACATCTCTCTTTCCCCCGTGCATAGTAAGTAATCTATAATTAAGTCGTTTGGCTGAGCCGATACTAATTCATAACAGCTGCTTTGTCCGCGCAAGACGACTCAACGTCATCATCCAGCCACATCTTCGCTTTGTGTAAGCATCTGTCCTTCTACCCTCACATTCAACAAGGAAAGATTGCTCACATTTCCCTGCAGTTATGAACTCCTTCAATGGGAAGAGCATCAAATGAAAAAGCGAGGCCAGCCCGTCAAGCGAGATCTTGAATGGGACATTGTTGCACGTGAGATAGCTCTGCTCAACAAGCCTTATTCGAGGCACTAAGAGTAGCCTCGACCCACCCCCAGTCTACACAATCAGGATTATGAGGGCGGCTTACTGGATACTGGATACTACGAGATTGCCATTCCTACCGCAAGCGCAAACGCCAAAACATTTCACAAGACTTCTCTACCGACTACTTAGGGTCAACACTCGGCTTTACGATGACCCGGACAC